TAAAATCCTTATTGTAAAGTTTTCATTCCCTGCAAGACAAAAAAAACCCAACAATATATAAATAAATTTCATTACTATCTCTGGGAAAGATTACAAAACAGTCATTTTAATTAGTCCTCAACATTATTTTAAAAAGTTAGCCAAATATTTTTTTAAAAATAACAAAGTCAATCCCACTATTATTTAAAAAATATAAAATCCTTAAAGTTAGCCAAAAATGAAAAAAAAATATGACAAAGTTAGTCCATTATTTAAAAAATATAGAATCCTTAAAGTTAGCAAAAAAATGAAAAAAAAAAAAAAAAATGACAAAGTTAGTCCCACTATTATTTAAAAGTGCAGATTCCTCACCATTATTTAAAGTACAGAAGCCATAAAGTTAGTCCCTACCATTATTTTAAAGTACAGAAGCTCTGAAAGGAAAAAAAAAATGGTTTCATTTTCTTTTTTTCATGAAAAGATTCCAAATGCTGCATATTCCAGTTTTGTACCAATTATAAAAATGAAAACCCTATCTAGCCGTGTGGACTAATAAAATAAACAGCTACAGATTAGGAAAATTTTCTCTGGTAAGATTAAAAAAAATGTTCTCCCTTAAACTACTAATTTTTGAATAAAGCTGAAAAAAAAAAAAAAAAAATATATGGCAACTAAAACCAAACTAAAAAAAAAAAAATATGAGAGAAAAAAAGCTGAAATGTTTTTCTCCAAGATCAAATTCCTGTTAAAATTTGACCCTAAAGAATCATCAAGAACAGAACTTCCAGTCATAATAAAAAAAGAAAAATAATTTTAAGGCTTGTGTACTTTTAAAAGACCCCGGCACTGTTGCTACAGCTGTAGTCCATGTGGTGCTTCTACAGTGTTAACAGGTTACAGAAGTCATCACCGTGACTTTTAAAACTATGGACATTAGTTCTTGGCGAAGACTAATAAAAATCCCAAAATATCAATATTATATTTATTAGGTAATGTTAATATATGCAAAGGCAAACAGTACCTAACAACGGTTACTTTTCTGTAGGTAACTGATTAGGAAAACTAATTAGGTCAGAATAAATTGGCCATGGTTTGGCTTCTATTACAGTGCTCCAGAGACAAAGTGAAGATGTCTGGCAATCAGACAGGTGAAATGAAATCAAACTTGGTAATCACTTAGAGAAGACTGCACTTTTCTTGATGAAAGGTAACTTTCATTATAAGAAAGAGGCTCTGCCTTTTAAGCAAATCAAGATTAAAATGACAGAAAGAAATCAATGGAAAGTTCCTTCTAAAGTCTTTTCCTTCTTTTTCACTTCCAGTAACTCCTTGCATCTTAGTGGCATTATCACCTTGCTTGGGGTGAATTGTTTTAAAAAAAAAAAAAAAAAAAAAAAAAAAAAGGAGAAAAAGAAAGAAAAAGAGTCTTAGTAAAACACAACGTTTATATATTTAAACACTTGGTAATAACTTGTACTCCCGAAAAAAATAACACCAACTCACATTGATTTTAGTACTCTACAATTTCAAAAAGAAAATGAAATTGGACTATTTTTATTATATGGCTTGGTTGTCTAGCAGCATATCAACTTCTATGCGTTATTTAATGCTGAAACATAAATACTTTATACACATTTTTTTCTTTTTAAGATAATGGTTTTAGTAATACAAATCTTAACTCATAATTAACCCATAGCTAGGGGAGAAGAGGTGAATTCAAATTTTTCCCAAGGGTATTTTCACGTAAATGAATATAATGAACCAAACTGGAATTGGAATTTGTAGTTTATCATCTTATCCAGGACGTGGATGTAGTTTATCGTCATACCCAGGACGAATACCAGCAATACATTTTTGAAAAAAAGTATAACCAGAAAAATTTCTTAAAAAAAAAAAAAAAATAAAAAAAATAATAATATATATATATATATATATATATATATATATATTACCAGCAATAAAAATCTTGTCAGCATAAATAACCCATTGATGTTGATATGCCGTAAACAAAAAAACAAACCAAATAAATCTTTCCTTCATTATCTGTAAATTGACATGATGTTGGAGGAGTTTACTGTTGCCTTCACCTTGGTTTTGATTTCAAAGATATATTACAAGACTGATTAAATTCTTTGGCTATTTTATCAATGGAAAATGATCTTCTAAAGAAGATAGGTATAGAAAGTGCCATCAAAAGATTTGCAGATCTGTAGGCTACAAAAAATGTTTTAGGTAGGGCGATGAATGATTTCTTTAGTTTGTATTAAGTTGTATATTATAATGAACTTGTTATTCTAGACTTTCAGTTTTTTTCCTCGTAAAAATTTTAAGGGTGCTGAAGTTCAGCTTGCTAGGGGTGCCAGCAATCCTAGAACGGTCACTGCTCACTGGTTGTTTTTACTTAGTAAGTGGTAAGTCAAATTTTCATAATTGGTCAAATAGCTTTCTGTTATGGGACCTACCTTTATGGACTAAATGGACTCATCCTGTTACTATATTATGCCTCCTCTGTCTACAGTTGACGAGTTGACTACGGTTGACTATGTGCACGACTTCTGTCGAACTCTCTACTTTGGCAGAGAGGAACCCGGACGAAGCTTTGCCGAAGCGCAAAGTTTCATCCGGGGAGGTAGACAGGCCCTGAACCTATCTAGCCAGGTTCAAAGGGTATATTTTTGGCCGAGCCTACAGGCTCGGAGAAACCCACATTAAACTCAGCCTTGTGCCACATACATTCCTCGTGGGGGGATCGTTAAATATTGTTGATGACATGACTACTGCACTTTGCCATCAGTCGGACGTGTAACACTTTTGCACTCATTGTTTTTGTTAATCTGTTTTCACTAAATTGCTGAGTTCGAGTTTTCTTTCAGACCTATTCTGGGTCCACAACACTTTCTGAACACCTCTGTCAAGCAAGGAGTTTCTGGTTTTAGTCTGAATACTTATAGGAATTACAAGTACTTTTATTTTCTTACTGAAAATAGAAGAAAATCTATTTTTTTCTTATTTGAAACTTACAAATTCATTTTGTTTATTATCAACTTTTTAATTCAGTTTCTCAAAATAAAATGTTATCTTGATTTATCCTATATAAAACAAGAAAGAACACTCAAAACAACACGTAAATTAACCGTTTGCCAGTCCAGGGTATTTTTGTGTGTACTATCCAAACATTTCTGCTTATTTTCACATTGATAACTGTTGCAAGGCAACTCGGCTTATTTGGTAAATAGAATCTGCTGATATATAGTGTCTCACATAATAAAAACCTCTACATCACATCATTAAGGTAAAGGTATGAATCCTCTTCTTCCTTCAGCTATGGGTAAATAGCAGGACAGACCAGGTTATATAGCCTTGGATAGCAACTGGTCTACCGCAGAAAGAAATAACAACCTACTATGGGAAAAAAATCTGCCTCGTCAGTCATGTATCACGCATGGCACATAACTGACTGATCCACCTAGGACAAAGAAAACTCTGATCTAATACTTGTGGCTTGATAGCATTTAACGATATTGACTGGTTCTTCTTTTTGGGTACATGCAGTTCTTGCTTAGAGAGTGGGATTGACCAAATGCAACGCCTTCTTCCAAGTTCCATGCGTAGGCATTGATTGATATCGCTAAGGTAAAAGGTATGAATCCTCTTCTTCCTCCAGCTATGGGTAAATAGCAGGACAGACCGGGTTCTGTAGCCTTGGATAGCAACTGGTCTACCGCAGAAAAAAATGACAACCTATTATGGAAAAAATCTGCCTCATCAGTCATGTATCACGATGGCACAAAAAACTGATCCACCTAGGACAAGAAAAACTCTGATCTAATACTTCAGGCTTGATAGCATTTAACGATATTGACTGGTTCTTCTTTCTGGGTACATGCAGTTTTGCTTAGAGAGTGGGATTAAACCACTGCAATGTCTTCATCCTCTTTAAAACTGGATGCCCAGGCATTGAATGATATCTTAATCCTATGGCTGTCCAGGTATTTTCGTGTGTACTATCCAAACATTCCTGCTTGTTTTCACATTGATAATTGTTGCAAGGCAATCGGCTTATTTGATAATAGAATCTGCTGATATATAGTGTTTTCATAATAAAACGTATAAATCATATGTTATTTACACTACACTCTGTGCATCACATGTGATGTACAGGTTTTTTGGTGAAACACTATATATCAGCAGATTCTATTTGCCAAATAAGCTGAGTTGACCTACAGTAGTTAAATCTAAAAACAGGCAAGCGTCCTGTGATCATATAATGATGCAAAATATTAGATTAGACCTTTCCTCAGACGTCCTATTCAGTAGTAGACACTTTACATGCTTAGTTTCACCATTCTCGTATGAATTACATATGGTGCACGGACATGGAAATCACATGTCCTGTGCATCATCACCCAGGACATGCTAAGGGTTAAAATGTTTGGTTTTTTCTGTATGCTGAATATAAAGTCTTACAATATTTTGTAATGGTCATACTCAAAAACGAGGTGACAACTCTCACGTACCTACACAAATACACACGCATATATACAAATTCACATATAAGAATATATATATTTTTTCATATATATGTATATATATATATATATATACACATATACACCCAATTATAAAGGCTCAAGAGACTCAAGGTAAAGGGTTACTGACTTGTTTTAGCATAGCAAAGAACAGGCATTACGAGTATAGAGCTGAAGTAGACTTTAGAAGGAACCGAAAACGCAATCCTAAACAGGAAACAAAGGATAAACCTCTACTCCTGTTCAAAAGAGCATGGAGGAGTATGAACCGGACGATAGGCGAGTCTATCTACTCCTATCCTTCTGTTTTGTGCCATATCATTTCAGGATGTGGGAGATCATTTCTCTCTACAGCCTCCTATCTTTTATTACTTTAAGTGACCTTTGACTCTTGTGTGAACTATGACATGGAAATCACGTCCTGTACATCATATATGATGCGCAGGCATAGGCAAAGGGTTAATCTTTTATAAATCTGCATAATAGGCATAACGTTGAAACACCAGTTCCCCGTATGATCACTGAACTTAAGCAACATTGGGCTTGGCCAGTAGGTAGGTGGGTGACTGCTTGGAAATAGCAGGTGGTATAAGCTTGGATATGCATGTAGTGTAATGGATAATGGCCTGGAATTCTTAATCGGAGAGCTAAGTTCCAATTCTCATTGGGTTCATTATATTCACTTACATGCAAGAACACTTGGGAAAGGTATGACTCCAACTCTTCTCCCCACAGCTATGGGTTAATTAATAAGACTTGTATCACTAAATCATTATCTTAAAAAAATATTTTGTTTTAAATAACCTGCAATGGGTTTTTTGTAATGTCAACAAACACTCGTTAACACTTTTGTAATGTCAACGAATACTCGTCACTTTCATAATGCTCATTGTAGTAGAGACTTTGTAATTGCAGATACAATTATAGTAACATGTTGAACAATATTGGTGTCAGATGCCTTCGAATAACACTCACACTAATAGTACTTGCTCAATAATACTCACTCAAAAAGTAACCACCGAATAGTAATCCGTATAGTGATCACTTAGACGCCACGCTAATTTCCATATATACATTCCCTTTAGCATCACATGATCTACTTATTCAAAATGGGATCGCCTGTGTTTGCTCTCTGGTGATCAGTGTTCAAACTCCAGTGTCAGCAGTGACACTTTATTTCTATATAACAGAGTTGATATACCATAGAAAGCAAATCAATCAATGTAAAATCCCCACCTTAAAACAGTAGGAGACCCGAGAATGAATATTTACATCAAATATGGCACATGTCCGAAATTGGGAGATAGGGAAGGCCGGCTTTCATCTGTTTTATGTTTAACTTAGCTAGTCTCAATCACCGACCCACTCATTTGATAATGTTCCATTCACGATATGCAACATTTTTACATACCATTCTTACTGCAGTCACCAAACTACCACAACCTCTCCATGAAGTCCTCTAACTAGTCACCATATGGATAGGGGTGAGTAACATAAAAATAACAATATCTATCCCATATGTGTACTTACAAGATGTAAAAAAGATTATTTAAAAAAAAAAAAAATAAAAACTTTAAGTAAAATCACCGTCAGTCAGTTATGCACCATGTGTGAGACACAGGCGATTATGTATCTTTCGATACATGACTGACGAGGCAGATTTTTTTCCCGCAGTGGGCTGCCATTACTTTCTGCAGTAGACCAATTTCCATCTAAGGCTATAGAACCTGGTCTGGACTGCTATTTACCCATAGCTGAGGAAGGTGGGGAGAAGAAGAGGATTCATACCTTTCCCAAGGGTATTAGTACATAAGTGAATGTAATGGATTCAATAGATAGATAGATAGATAGATGTGAATAGACTGAGATAGATAAATAGATGTAAACAGACCGGATAGATCAGTTATGTGCCATGTGTGATACATGTTTAGGCGATCATGTATCTTTCGATACATGACTGATGAGGCAGATTTTTTTTTCCCGCAGTAAGTTGCCATTTCTTTCTGCAGTAGACCAGTTGCCATCCAAGGTTATAGAACCCAGTCTGTCCTGCTATTTACCCATAGCTGAGGGTGGTGGGGGATAAGAAGAGTAATCATACCTTTCCCAAGGACAATAGCACATAAATGAATGTAATGAACCCAACTGGAATTCGAACTCAGCTCTCCGATTCCTCAATCTGAGCCACTATCTATTATTCTACAGTACAATTCTAAACTGTGGCAGAAATATCAGTTCACCAGAGAAAATAATAACAGAATAAATATAAATTCATTCACTCTACCGACCAGTCACCCAACCGTGCACTCAAATAGTCCAAAATGGTACATTTCTTATCACTCAGTCTTTTATAGATACCTCCAAAGATTTGCTAAAATATGAGCATACATGATGAAAAAAATGCTAAAATCCTTATGGTTTTATTAAAAGGGAAGACTAAGGATTTTTTGATTATTAAATTATTATTTTTTTTTTATTTATTCTTTTTGGAACCTTTAAAATTTGTGCTAAAAATTTTTTTTTCTTTCTTTTTGCATCAATGGGGGACCATAAATTAGCATGGGAAATTTTAGTGTCATTTTGTGGTGAAAAATACACTGATTTAGAAATTTTAGATTTTTTTGCAAAAATCAGATAATTGTAAAATTTTAATGAAAGTTTCAAAACTTATTCACAAATGGATGAAATTATTCTAGAAAAGTTTTTTTTTTTTTTAAGAAAATCTTGGTGAAAATGTTTTTTTTTTCTTTCTACATCTGTTACCCGCCCCCCCTCTCCATTTATTTAATTTATAAAATTTCAAGAAATTAATTTTTTGTAGTGCTTATTAGTTAAGGACAAGTCAATTTTTTTGTTAAACAGGATCTCCAGTTACAGAAAATCTGAATCATAAAATAAAATGCGAATTTAAAATAAATAAATAAATAAAAGATATAATTCCAATCAATTTTTAAATTCAGTTCGAAATACAAAGTATTTTACTAATTTTACTGATTTATTAGCTTGAAATTAAATGCTTCAAGCTTTTTGATTTTAAAATGCATTTATTTTAGCCTAAATGAATTTAAAAAAAAAAAAAAAGATATCTAAATGATTTAGGAATCGCTTTTTGGGAGGGGAGGTACCTAATTTTTTTTTTTCGTACATTTATTTTATGACATTTCTTTTAAATTAAAAGAAATGTCATAATGAATGTCTAACAACCCCAAGTTGTAAATTTGCATGCCAATTTTTAAAAGTATATATTTTATTTCATCTGTGTTATTTATTTTTAATTCAAATTTTAAAAATTGCCATATATAAGCCTAGCAGTGTTTAATTAATTAATGACTTAATGGGAGAATTAGAAGCTAATATGTAAGGAAGCTTTACTAGTAATAAGCTCCACAAAGAGGGTTATTTTCATTTTTTTATTTTGCTGAAGCCCGGTAAATATGCCGGCACAGCAAAGCTTGCTGTTTGTTGATGAACGGAGATGACAAGCAAGGAATAGAAGAAGAGGAAGAACCGGCCGCCCGCCCGAGGTGGAGATTGAAGCGGGGCGGGGGGGACTGATCATGGTTGGGAAGGGAGTGACAAGAGCGAAGTGACCCAGTTTCTGTGTCAGATTCACCAGTTTGCCTCTTTTCCAGAGCCACATGTCGGCCAGTCAGTTAATAAAACAAAAAAATAAATAAATAAAAAGCATAAAAATAAAAAAATAAGCGACGAATCGCTTTAACGGAAACAACACCCTTGACTGACATGAGGCTTCGGTTCGCGATGCGTCACATGTGTGTGCACGCGCCTATATATATGTGTGTGTGTGTGTGTGTGTGTGTGTGTGTGTGTGCGCGCGCGCGAGCTAACCTCCATCCTGAATTTGGTGAGCACTGCACGTGTCTTTATAAAAATACACGAAGCAGTTTAAAATAAATAAATTAATACAAAAAAAAAAAAAAAAAAGTATTTAAAAAACGTGGACCTAAAACTGATTATCAGGTTATGCTTTTTAACTAGTTAAAAATCCAATCACACCAGTTTTAACTACCATTTCGATCTTCGCTAAGTACACTACATTTATGAGGCGGTAGCAAGCTTATCTCGCTAGAGATCAATTACGAACGATTGAATAGGGAGTTCGATCCTCACTGGGTGCCCCATACTTTTGGCATTGTGCCACATCTAAGATAAGCTTAGAAAATCATTTTGGGCACTTCGACATGGTGTAATGATTAGCAAGCTTGTCTCTGCTAGATCAAGACTGAATAGTGAATTCGATCCTCACTGCGTGGCCCATACTTTCGGCCATGTGCCACATCTAAGCTATGCTTGGAAAACCACTTTAGTGTGTAAATTGATCTTGAGTAATTTGTAACACGATTATTTATCATCTCTCAGTTGCATCCCTGTCTTTATGCAGAGTGCACTCAGGGGTGGCTCCGTCAAAGGATATAGTCGCAACTGAGAAAAATTATACTGAGAGGTGCCCAGCCCTGGGGAACAGCTGCCTGAGGCTGTGCCTTCTAACTGCACCAGAGAGAGGTATCAGTGCTTACGGGGGCTCAGGCAATTTTTGTTCCTAGCCCGGGTGCATGTGCTCAGGCTCCCCACATTAAACCAACTTTGTGTCACAACCTAACCTCATGGTTTTTGAATAAATACAAATTTATGACTTTGTAATAATATATGAGGCCAAGCTTAAAATTAAAATGATATCTCACTTGCCTCAACTTAAGCAAAGCAATCGATTATGCCTGCATTGCGTCTGATCTTTGCTGAGTGCTCCATGTTTGTGAGCTTTTGCCAGACTTCGCTATGTCAGTTTTTTTTTGTTTTGTTTTTTAATAACATATATTTTCAGAAAATAAATGATCTTCTCTCTCCAGATTTCCACACCAATAACCTTCACAATGTCTGCACCTCACTCACAAAATCAAGTCAATAAGTCAATACCTGTTATAATATGGTGCCTGGCATAAAGTAATGGTGTGGAAGCTAATCTTACTAGATTGATTGCTAGGGTAGTAGATTTACGCCTTAGTGTAGCCTTGTGGCAGACTTGCCAAGGTTTAATTTACTGTATATATATATATATATAAAAAACAGTAAATGCATATATAATATATATATATAAACAGTAAAAGCATAAGCCTAGCAGTGTTTAATTAATTAATGACTTAATGGGAGAATTAAAAGCTAATATGCAAGGAAGCTTTTTTTTTTTTTATATATATATTATATATATATATATATATATATTTATTCAGTGTTTATATAGTGATTTATATTAGTGTTTATATTAGTTATTTGTTTGGATAAGTCTTGTTCTTATGTACATCGTCTTTGTCATGTTGTATTGATAATATTACAATTTATGAATATGTCCTGAAGATGGTTTATTAGACCTAAAACGTCCGACGTTGACATATTAACATTAAAACAGCATAATTGTATATAAGATTTTTTTGTTTTTTTTTTATATATATATATATATATATATATATATATATATATATATATATATATAGAGAGAGAGAGAGAGAGAGATAAACATTCAATATATATATATATATATATATATATATATAAAACACTGAATTAAATAT